AATGGTTCTCAACCTTCCTAATGCCGCGACCCTTTAATACAGTTCCTCATGTTGTGGTGACCCCCAACCATAAAATTATTTCCGTTGCTACTTCATAACTGTAATTTTGTTACTGTTATGAATCGTAATGTAAATATCTGATACGCAAGATGTATTTTCATCGTTACAACATGAACATAATTAAAGCATAGTGATTAATCACAAAAACAATATGTAATTATATATGTGTTTTCCGATGGTCTTAGGCGACCCCTGTGAAAGAGTCATTCGACCCCCAAAGGGGTCGCGACCCACAGGTTGAGAACTGCTGATCTAGAGACACAGGAAACATGGTTGTGGGACCACTTGAGGGAGAAGAGCTAGACCGAGAGACAAGTAGATCTTGGCATGAATGGGAGGCACTGTGGCCTTGCTGGAGATCTAGACTAGGAGCCTAGACGCTTGGGTCTGAGTCCCAGCTCAGACTTAACGGGCTTCCTCTGACTGTGGGCCTCCTGAGGGCTTGGGGCACCACACCCAGCCCCCCTTGGCCTTTTGAGGGTCCCTCATGGTAAGCTTCATTATTCTGATCCAGTGGTGGGAAAATGGATACTCAGTTAAGTCACTTGCCTAAGGCCTCCAGCCAGAATTCAAACTCAGGCTCTGCAGCCAGGCGGCCTTTGGCAAGTGTTTGAGAATCCTCCTCTATCTAGAACGCATACCACCCCATCCTGCCTTCTCCCTGAGGCTCTTTGGGAGCTCAGTCGGAGGGCATGGAGGTGGAGGCAGAAGTCTATTGTGAGCCGCAAATCCCTGTCTACTTAAGAGGATGTTTGAAAAGTGCAGGGTTCATTTTGGGGAAGGGAGGTGTCATGGTGCATGTTGGGGGTGTCAAGAGTAGATTTCTTCTTGCCCAGGTTGAGCAGACCCTGGGGTGGCTTCTCTTAGACACCTTCTTGGTGGTGGTGATGAGTGGTGGCAGTGGGCAGTGATTACACCGTTCCTATGGGGGCTGTGAGGCTTCCTTAAGCAAAACAACAGAAATCTTGGCTTGACAATGTGGAGATTCAGGCAGGAGTGGAAGAGAAAGGGTCCCTTAGTCAAACTCAGAGGTAGGTGAATTATAATAAGATAATAATAATAATAATAATCCTTTATAATAAAGAGGTAATATGCAAATTAACCCTCACACCATCACAAGATGGCTGCGCCCACAGCGGAGGTGGGGTTCTCATAATGAGCCATCAGTAGGGACGTGAGGCTGCGTGGCGCCGGGCCGGGGCGGGGAACCTCAGGCTGTGCCCCCTGCCTGGCAGGGCTTGACAGGGACCTCAGGCCATGCCCCCTGCCCAGCAGGGCTTGATGGGGCACCTCAGGCCAAGCCGCCCACCCTGGTGCCAGGCTAGGGGACCTCAGGCCGTGTACCCTGCCCATCGGGGCTTAATGGGGTACCTCAGGCCATGCCCCCCTGCTCAGTGAGACTTGATGGGGGACCTGAAGCTGCACCCCCCACCTGGCGGGGCTTGACAGGGGTGGGGCCGGCCAGGTCTGGATCTCACCCAATGGGGGTGGGGGCAGCTGGGTTTGGGTCTCACGTGATTTTGAGGTGTGCGTGGGTGGGTGAGGACTTGACTCTGGGTCCCACGGCGTGCCCCACACTCTGACAGGAGGAAGATTTTCATATACATTTTACTAATTTTCTTTTATCTCTGACACTTCTATTATAAAGGGCAAATAGCAATATTAAAATATTTCCTCTGATTCCCTTTTAATGTGCACAAATTTTGTGCACCAGGCCACTAGTAATAATAATAATGGCCATTACCCATATTGTACCCATCATGTATATGTGGATGCTGTTCTAAGCTTCCATTCATTAAGTGCTTACTAAGCACCAGTCACCTCCCAAGGGCACTACATGAATTAGTTTACCTAACCCCTAGGAGTTACCAGTTATTTTAATCTCTGTTTTATAGGTGGGGAAACTGATGCTCTGAGAGGTTTAAAAAAATGAACTTTCCTGGGAGGTTGGGGATTAATGGGGGGGATGAGGGCACATTTATAATATCTTAAATAATAATAAAAAAAAATGAACTTTCCAGGTTGGGGAGGGTTGGTCGGTAGCAATGTTTTCAGAGTCAGGCAATTTGACCCCAAAACTTCCATGAATTGCCTTCTTTCTCTTTGTCAGTGTAGTTTCCTGCGTTTGACCACATTTAGTGATATTGCCCAAAGTTTGAAGCTGAGCCTGTCTATTGGTGAGGCTCAGCTTCAAACTTTGCCCTGTGAGAAAACAGAGATTGGATAACTTGACCAAAGTTATATAACGCATTCCTGGAATTGCTGGGGTCAGCCCTGGGTTGTTAGCACTAAGTCTAACTGCCTGAAAAAAAGAGGCAGATTGCTACAAAATAGACTCCCAACAAGTAGCATGGACTGAAAGTGGGAGGCAGGCAGCAGGCAAGATTTGGGGCAGGGACATCTTTCCTCCCCATCCTTGAGAAAATGGTAGATTTCTTGGGGCTCTCAGGCCACGTGTTGGGAGAGATGCAGCCCTTCTCTCGCCCCTGTCTCCCCGCCTCCCCGCCTTGGCCCAAGAAAAGGGCGGTAGCTTGGCCTTTCAGTTATGCTTCCTCCAGTCATGGCTGGCTGGGCCCTGATGCAAACCTGTTGTTTGGGTTCCTGTAACCAGCGCCTAACGCATTATAAATAGGCAACTCCAGCCAGGGCCCTCTGTTGGATTGGAAAGTCCATTCTCTGTGACTTCTGGTTCTGTGCTGAGATCCCACCACCCCCCTCCCATCAGTAGTGAGAGTTGTTGAGTGAAAGGAAAAGAGCACCTGGAAGGTAGTGAGTTGTGTGTATTTCCTCACAATCTTACCCTCCTACCGTCCTTCCCCTTTTAACTCTGCTTTCTTCTGGGTCAGGTGGGGGTTCTCAGGAGGCTCTCTCACATCCCTGGCCTTCAAGGCCAGCTCTTCTCTCACCTCCTCCAAGAAGCTTCCTCTGATTCCTTCCAACACGTATCTGTGTCCCATGTGCGTTGAATGGCGGCACCCAAAAGGATATAAACACAACAAATCCCTAGAACCTGAGAATGTGACCTTATTTTGGATAAGGGCTTTTGCAGTAATTAGGTTAAGAATCTTAAAATGGGATCATCCTGGATTATCCGGGTGGGCCCTAAATCCACTGGCAAGTGTCCATATAAGAAAAAGGCAGAAACTTTGAGACACAAAGAGGTGATGTGACCAAAGAGGCAGAGATTAGAGTGTCTTGGCCAACAAGGTCACATGCCAAGGAATGCCATCAGTTCCCAGAAGCTAGAAGAGACAAGGAAGGATTCTCCTCCAGAGCCTTCTAGGACCAGGGCCCTGTCAGCACCTTGATTTTGGAGTTCTGGCTTGCAGAACTGAGAGAATAAGGCTGTATTGTTTTAAGGTGCTCATTTTGTGGTGGTTTGTTGCAGCAGTAGACTATCTGAACTACCTGTATTGGAGCCACACAGGTGAGGCTTCAAATTGGCTTTAGCCGGCAGGTGCTAGCCTACCTTCCAGGGTTAGTGTTTTGTTTTGTTCTAAAAACTTGCCCTGCTGGTGTTTCTCAGTGGTTAGAGCGTCAGCCCTCACACCAAACGGTCACAGGTTAGATTTCTGGTCATGGGCACATACCTGGATTGGAGGCAACTAATCAGTGTCTCTCTCTCACATAGATGTTTCTTTCTCTCTCTCCCCCTTCCCCTGTCTCTTAAAAAAATAAAATCAGTGGGGAAAAAATAAAAACTTTATTGGGATATAATTCATACATCATACAATGCACCCATTTAAATCCAATGGTCTTTTTAGTATATTCACACTGTTGTGCAATCCTCTGCACAGTCAATTTTAGAACATTTTCATCATCCTCCCCAAAAGAAACCCTGTACCATTAACAGTTGCTCCCCATTTCTCCCCACAACTCGACCCCAATCCTAGCTACTAATCTACTCTCTGCCTCTAAAAATTTGCCTATTCTGCATATTTCATATAAATGGAATCATACGACATGTGGGCCTTTCTGTCTGACTTCTTTCACTTAGCATGATTGTTTTCAGGTTTCATCCATGTTGTAGCATATGTCAGTACTTATATCTTTTTATGGCTGAATAACATTCCACTGTATGGATTTACCACATCCTTTTTTACCCATTCATGCATTGACGGACATTTAAGTTGCTTCTATTATTTTGGCTGTTACAAATTATACATAAGTTTTTGTGTGGACATGTCCAAGGTTATCTTAAAGATTAAATGAAGTAGCATCTAAGGTACTTTCTATGGTACTTTCTTTAACAAAGGATAATGAAAGATCTTACAGGAAATCTGCCCCAACTGCTTCAATTTACAGATTAGGAAACTGAGGTACAGAGAGGAGCAGAGAATTGCTCAAGGTCACCCACAGCAGTAGAGCATTACAGCTAAATGTAGGTCCTTGAGTCAGTCTGCCCAGACCAAATCCTGGTTCCACTTGGATTTGGGTTACCTTATGTAAGTCACTTCATCTCTCAGAGACTTAGTTTACTAGAAGAGGCAAGGAAGGATTCTCCCCTAGAGCCATAGTATAAAATAAGGATCATGATAATACCCGCCTCATCTAGTTATTGATGTGAGGAGTAAGTGTACTAGCCTATGGGTCTGGCACATAGTAGGTGCTCTCTGTCCTAGCTGTCATCATTTATGGCAGTGCAGGATGTGGAACTCGGGTCTCCTGGCTTACCATGTGTAAGATGTCTTGACTCTACACTTCTCCAGTTTCCTCTCCTGTGTCATGAGCATCTTCCTAGTGTAAGTTTTTTGCAGGAAGGAACTATGGCGTCCTCTCCCCATGTCCTGAGCATATAAGAGGAGCTGACTGAGCTCTTTTGCGCACTTTCGTTGGCTACCCCAACCCCGGCCTTTACCAAGTAACTCAGCTGGTAACTGTGTTAATTCTCTGCATCTTTTCAACCTCTGATAAGATGACCACGTATGTCTCCCTTCCAGGCAGTGGACAGTGTTCCACCATGGAGCTGGGGCCTCTAGAAGGTGGGTACCTGGAGCTGCTCAACAGCAATGCCGACCCTTTGCAGCTCTACCACCTCTATGACCAGATGGACCTGGCTGGAGAGGAAGAGACCGATCTCTGCTCAGGTGCGCTCTCCTCCCTCCCGTCCCTCCCAAGCCCCTCCCCACCCTCAGCCTGCAGTGGAGACTGGCAGCAACCAGAGTAAGCGCGGGCCACGGAGCTTCGGTCAGCACCGCGGACAGCTCCTGTCCCTGGCAGTAGGCTGGCTCTCTCACTGGGAACGTCTCCCAGCCCGCCCCGCTCCTCTCTTCCGCCTTCCTCGCCAGCCCTCTTCCCAGATCTCTCCTGTCTCATTCAAGGGGCTTTTCCCCACAGAACCTGACACGGACACCATCAACTGCGAGCAGCTCAGCAGGCTGTTGTGCGACATAGAAAGTGATGAAGAGACCAAGGAAGCTTATGCCAATATCGGTGAGAAAGCACTCCGAGCCCAGAAAAAGGACAGTTAAGGGGAAAGGTGTTTTTCCTCTTTTGTTAATCTCCCCCATTAGCCATGAGCCACAGCCCCTCTCTCACAAATCAGGGCGAGGGGGATGTGGGGCGAGGGGGATGTGGGGCGAGGGCTAAAAGAACAGGCTCCAGGGCGGACTCCAAGAAGATGGAGAAAAGTGAGGGAAAGGGACCCCTCCACTAATGACCCACAGGCAAACAAAACCTCACTTTGACATCCTTTGCCTCCATTTCTCTACCTTTTTCTATTTCTTGTTCTTTCCTCCCTTTGAACAAAGCCCATGCCATACATCCTTCCCTCCCATTCTCCCCAGCTCGTAAGCCAAACTACTCTAATCACCACATGTGTTGCATCCTTTACAACAGAGGAAGTGGGCATTATTAGTATCTCCATTTTACTGATAATGAAATGAAGTTCAAAGGTGAAGCAGTCTACCCAAACCTGCATTAGAGATAGCCATGGGCAGGCCTGAAATTCTAACCGACATCTATCTCATTTCAGGGTCTTAAACTTAACCACAAAAAGGGAAGTATCTGGGGTGGGAAGGTTTGCTAAGGCATACGCTGAGAGGCTGGATTGCAGCTTTACAAAGAGGGAGGCTTTCAGAAGGGCGGAAGTCTTGGGGGAGAGGTGTTTGCATTGTTGTTGTTTGGGGCTGGGTGGGGTAAGGATCCCTCCTCACCGGAGCCACCACTATCCCACACAGAGATGTTGTTGAGGTGGAAAAAGGCAGCCCTTGTTCTGGAAGACACAGCCTCCACCGGAAAGTAACCGCTTGGCTATTAAAGTGCAGGCTGAGCCCTGGCCGCGTGCTCAGCTGGTTGTAGTTCAGCTGGTTGTAGGTTGTCTTGTACACCAAAAGGTGGTGGTGGTGGGGGGGGGGGCGTTGATTCCTGGTCAGGGCACTTACCCAGGTTGCGGGTTGGATCCCTGGTTTGGGGTGTGCGAAGGAGGCAATCAATCAATAGTTCTCACATCGATGTTTCTCTCTCTCCTCTCCCTAAAATCAATTTAAAAATTTTTAAAGTGCCGGCTGAATTTCCTGCCCCCCATTTGCCCTCTTAGCTGGGCACCTTGTACCCTGAACAACCTGCACAGCTGTTCTTAGTTGCACTTTTCCTGGCAACCCCAGGAGCACGCCACTCAGGAGGCCTGTGGTCAGCGCAAATGTGGCTGGTCTTTCCCAGGGCACAGTCCTGTGTCACGCCAGGGCAGAGGATGGAGAGGTGTCTCAAATTACAGAACCGAGAGCCTGCCTGCTTCCTTTCTTCCTGGGAATTTACTTGCAGGAAGCAGAAGTGTTTGGGGCTGAGGGCACTCACACTTCCTCACAGCGGGAGGCTGTAGTAAAGGATTTGGGGGTTTCTCCCTTAGGGGCATCTACACAGGAAGTGGAACTGCCTGAGCTCCTCAAGTCTGTGGGTTTGCTCCTGGGCACGCAATCATTTGAGACATCCTGAAATATTACATTGGCTTTTATATGTGTAAGAAATGGGAATAATAGTCACACTTTCCCCAGGGAACAGCTGGAGAGGATTAAATACATGTATATGTGTAAAGCAGTTAGAAAAGGAATTTGCAAAGAGTACGCATTCAATAAATATTAGGTACCATCCCACCCCTATAGTCATCATCATCCTTATCATCATCATCATCATCATCATCATCATCAGTTTTGCCCTTACTCCATTCCTCAGCTCAGAAGCCTTTAATGACTCCCTATTATCTATAAAATTAAGTCCTAACTTTCTCCAACATGAAACTTCTCCTGCAGATACCTGTCTCTCAGAGTTTCCCATACGTACCCCAAATATCCAGAAAGCCCCCACTCTCGACCTCTCAGGCTCTGCCTCACCTTTCAAGGCCTGGCTCCAGGATCCCTTCCTCTGGGAAGCCCTCCCTGACTGCCCCATCCCACTCTCTCCCCTGACCTCCTGCCATGATCGTTGTCTTCCTATTGGTTCCAAACCACATTCGCCTTCATATAATTAGCCACTTCATTTATTGAGTGCCTACTGTGTACTGACTACTGTGTTGAATGCTTTATATGCAGAGCCTCTAATTCTCACCATCGGTTCCTGGGTTGTAGGCATTATTTATTCTCATGACAGAGATGATGAAATGGGGGCCCAGAGAGGTTAAGTAACTGGCCCAAGGTGGCATAGTGGGGGGGGAGAGAGCTGGAATGGAAACTCAAGCCCCCCTGACAACTCATCCACACTGCGCTGCACTCCTTTAGAGCAATAGATAAGTTTCTGTGGATAATACCCCAGCCCTTCAGTTAGATTAAGAGCCTGTGAAGGCTCAGTGTTCCTTCATTAATTTGATCATCCATTCAGCAAACATGACTGAGAACTCACTGACTGCACTTTTCCTTGTCTGGGCAGCGGAACTGGACCAGTATGTGTTCCAGGACTCCCAGTTCGAGGGCCTGAGCAAAGACATTTTCAGTAAGTTGGGGGCTCTTGGCTCAGTCCACATTTCCTTCCTTGTTCCTTGGGGAGCACTGTAATGCCAGAAGGCCATTCTTTAATGGGCGGTCAGATCCCTTCCCAACAGAGGAACAGCACGGGTTCAGCTGGGGTGTCCATTGACTGTGCATGTTGGTGTCTGGTTTTCTTCCACAGTCGAGCACATAGGATTAGAAGAAATGATCAGCGAGAGTGTGGAGATGCTGGAGGAAGCAGCACAAAAGAGTCAGAAAAGACGTGAGTGAGCCCCTCCCTGGTCCTACCCAGTCTTGCTTGCCTCCTGGCCCTGCCTTCGCTTCACAGCCTGTTGAGGCTCTCAGCTGCTTCCCTCATTAAGTCCTGTCTAATCCACCTGGGTGTGGGTGTCCCGCCTGCCTCTCCCCTCACCACTGCCCCGTGGTGACCCAGGGAGGAAGCAGATGGCCCAGGCGCAAATGGCTACTCTGCTGGTGGGTCTCTGTCACTGGCTGTGTTGACTGCCACGTCCAAAGGACCTTTAGGCTCTGGCTTCCCTTTCGACCTTAGTTGGTACCCCTGTATTTGGGGGAGGTCTCTTCAAGCACAGGTTTTGGAATCAGCAAGAACTGGGTTTTAATCCTGGATCTGCTACGTATGCTCCCTGAGCCCGTGGCAAGTACCTGCACCTTTTTGAGCTTCCAACTCAGCCTCCCTGCCTCCTCAATCTGGCAGCCAACATGAGCTTTTTAAATACAAATCAGATAGTTCAGCTTCCCTGTTAACCTTCCAATGGCTACAAAATACATGCCACAAGGCCTGCATGGTTGGGCCCTTTCCAACTCTCCAAGGTCCCCATAAGCTACCCTGCTCCAGCCACACTGGCTTCTTTCCATTCCTGCAACCATGGGCCCTTCCTAGCCCCAGGGCCTTTGCACTTGCTGTTCTCTTTATCTGTAATGTCCTTCCCTACTTCTTTCCATGGACAGCTCCTTCAGATCTTTTAGGTCTTGGCTAACATGTCACCTCCTCCTGTAGGCTTTCCTTGACCACAATTTTCACGTGATTACCTCGTTTACTTTCACCTTGCTGTGTCTCTCCTAGAACCTTAGTACTTGTCATAGTCTGAACTAATTTTATTTATTGCCTTTTGCCTAGTTCCCCCTCTGTGAGGACAGGGACCTTGTCTTTCTTACTTGTCACTACATCCCCAGCATCTACCACAGTGCCTGACATGCAGCAGTACCTCAATAAGTATCCGTTGAATGAAAATATCTGTAAAATGGGCATAACAGTTAATGAAATGCATACTATATGCCAGACCACGTGTGTAAGCCCTGTACCAATTTCTTTATGTTCAAACAGCTTTTCTCAGTTTCTCTTGGTTCCCCTCTCTGAAGACAACCTATGTTGTCATTTTCCTTTTTGCCTTGTTAGACATGTTATTTATCTAGAGCCGAACTCAATGTTATTGTTTTTTTTTAACTTTCTACACAAATGGCCACATTTTTACCTATACTATCTGCACCTGGCTTTCTTCATTTAACAGTCGGGGGGCGGGGGGAGTCACTTGTGTATCACTGATGGAGAATTGTCTTGCCTCCAGGAAACCCTTCCTTTCTTCCTTCCTTCCTTTTTTCCTATCTCTCTCTCTCTCTCTCTCTCTCTCTCTCTCTCTCTTTCTCTCGTTTTCATGTTATGAATATTTTTCCAACATTTTGTTATGAAGATTTGCCACATACAATAAGGTGGAAGAATTGTACTTCAAACAACCACGTAGCTACCACTTTACATTCTACAGTGAAAGTTTGGCTGTATTTGCCTTAACCCATCTCTATCGATTTGTCCATCCCCCCCTCCATCCACCCATTCATTCATCTTACATTTGGAACATTTTAAGTGAATTGCAGATGCTAGCACACTTCCCCATACATCCCCCTTTCAGCGTCCTTCCTTGTTCATTTCAGGTCTGCACAGTATTTTGTTGGTGGATAAGCCATGGTTCGTTTACCCCTTGCTCAGGGACACCTGGGGGTTTTCTCCATTGGTGTGCTAAGTGTCTGATCCTCACTCACCGATTTTCAGTGTACTCCTGCGAGGTGGAATCACCCTCCCATACGCCCATTTCACGGACGCGAGCTCACAGGCTCAGAGAGGCTGTGTTGCAAAGACACACAGCTGGGAAGGGATCAAAAGCAGGCGTTTCATATTTTTTTAAACTCAAACTCGTCTTATGTGTCCCCTCTATGCGTGTGCCACTTCCGGTACCTCACTGTCCCGTGAGCTTCGAGGTGGGGTTTGGTTTTAAGCAAATGGACTAGGGGGGCAGGAATAGTCAGGGAAAGGGAGTGGGACCCCCAGGGCCACCTCCCAGGCAAAGCTATTTAGCCTGTTGGGGCCCAGGAGCCCCTCCTGGCTGGGAACACCCCTCCCCTGGGCCTGCTGACCCTGGTGTTCTCTCTGCAGCCTTCCCAGAGGAGCTGCCTGCAGACCTGAAACACAGGAAGCTCGGTGAGCAGGG